CCAATCAATGTAACACTATCGTCGGTCTTGGCCAGCCAGTCTGAGGAAACGAAGTCACGTGGAAACGGAATTCTTCTGGACTTGTTCGAGCACTGCTTGCTTCCCTGCCAGAGAAGTCGCACAACGAGTTGTTGCCTCAAGCACGCCACGGTAAATCAGTCCGAATCGATCGCCAATGGATTCTGACCATGGCGAGTAGCGAGGGCGCTAGCCAACTCGATTCTGTGCGGTCCATGGCCTGACGTCGAGGGCGCAAGGGCGACGGTGTTTTTCATCGGAAAGGCGCCGATCGTCGTATCTCTTGATCTGGTCCTCAGACGAACCGCAACGAACTCGCATTCCACCTCTTGTTTCAGAAAAGCGCGTTTAATTGGACACTAAAATTAGAACACATAATTGTCGACTTTGTGCGAAAAAAAAGGGTCAGCGTCATCGAGCTCGAGCGAACCAGCAAAACAGAGGTCGCGAGTCAGTATAAATATATGCGCGTCAGTATAATAATATATATATGTGCGAGACGGCAAAGTTATGATCAAGCACTTGTGACTCGAAATGATATTAGCACACCATCAGCTGCTGACCTTAACTAGTAATAGTAAAACAACCGATTATATTCATTGCTTGTCTGGTGTGGGTTGGAAACTCCAGCTGAATTTGTCGCGTGCAAATATTTCACGAAAATCTTTTTCCGTCATTGTTCATGTCTCATATAACGTGAAACTTTCTAGGGCTACAATCGTTTTGTATTTCTCATAATAAGCTATTTTCACTACAGCGATTTATTGCAACTAAGACTGCAAAATGGATTTGCATGATGCGAGAAACCAAACACTTCTGGATCACCCATTTTCCATAATACTTGATCCTTGGTCATTGTGTGTAAATAGCGGTCTAGTCAGCTGACACAAGTCGTCGAAAACTTTAGTGTCACATTGTCAGCTGAGCTCTCCTGTGCTAGCTTCTGATCTTCAGCAGAAGATAACGTGAGTTTGGAGCAAAGCCCTCAGTGACAATAGCCTCAGGTCATTCTTGGCCGTCTCCTGGGTCTTCGACCGGTCAGTTCAGCAAGTAGAAGCTGTCTGGTCATCAGTTTCTGGAAGCAGTCGCAAAATGTTCCCAAAACAACGTAACCGTGACTTTTCAGTGTGGAGATGCAGTGGTTGTACATCGAGGCTCTACCGTGTATCTGAACCTCGAACAATGTCGGGACACGTCAGCCGAACCATTTGTTTCCGTACGCCCATTTCAGAGGCTTGTGCCCGGTATCGCAGTTTTTCAGCCATGGCCCACGACTCATGACGGTTGGTGGGCATTCCGATGAAAATCGACTTGATCACCGACAGCTTCTTCTTCAGACACAGCTCTGTCTTAGTCACGCGGCGGTTCGACCGGAATGGTTCATTCAGAACGCCGGTGGCCATCTTAGCGCGTTGTCCGACAGCAGTAAGTGAACCGAACGAACCTGAGGTACGTCAACTTCTCCACCTGTTCCACCACTTCCTCATTTACGTCTACAACGCACTGGGCAGAGGAACGAGGAAGCTTTATGTTTCTGGTTTTAGTCACGTTCAGACCCATGCCGGCCACGTGGCGCTCCAGCCGTGAACCTTTCCGGAACCAGCTGGAGATGAATTTCAGTAGACGTCAATGAAACAAGGTCTTTCACAAACAGCACCCTCGTCGCCTCGACATCTCTCACACTGACACACCTTGCGTTCTGGCTGCTCCTGACTATCCTATGCATGTACGGCAGAGAAGAGAAGGAACGAAACTTATTAGAGGAGACCAGTGCAATGCTGCAAGGTCTCCACTTGACGCC